AGCTTTTTTCACAAACAAGTAAATGTATTGATGTCATGGGAGACTATATTAAAAAAATCATAATTTTATCTCTTTAGGGTTCCGTATCCAAAGGGTGACCAACGGAGCCTCCGCTGTCTGTCCGCCCGTCTGTCAAGGGGCTGTATCTCATGATCCGTAATAAGTAGACAACTGAAATTTTCACAAAATGTTTATTCCTGTTGCCGCTATAACTACAAATAATAAAAATTAAAATGTGTATTACGATGGTACGGAACCCTTTATGTGCGAGTCCGACTCGCACTTAGTCGGTTATTATTTATAACATACCCATACCGAGAATACATTGAACGCCCCTCGTAGAATCTATGTGCTACAGCATTTAATTACCATCAGGTGAACTGTGCGCTCGTTTGTTGCCCTCAGTCTATAAAAAAGTGATACCTCTCTCTCTCTCTCTCTCTTCACCAAAAGGTCCCAATATAGCTTGAAAACATTGACTGATTTTAGTTTTAAGCTTTATCTTCCTATGGAGTGACTATGACTGCAGAGTAGGTTTACACTGAAGCTATTTAAAAGTCTGACTTTTTGTCAGTCTTCAAGCATAAGGTGAAATAAAACAATTAATACTTTACATTGTTTTTATTTTAATATATATGGAATAATAAATTAACCCCCCATGTATATACCGTCCTATCACCAAGACACATTGGCTGCCTGCGAACCTTCCCCGTCCCGCTTTGGCTGGATCACTACACAGCGTCTTTTCTACATTTCATAATTGAAAATATTATTGTGATTTTTTCATTATACATAAAAAACCTGACATTCATGTATTATGGATAAATCGCTCTTAAAGTTTAGTATTTTTTTAAATTATTATTGACAAAAACAATCACTTATAGTTAAAATAACTAGCGTGTGTATTCAAAAGTCGGAATTGATATACCTAATCTGTTTATATGATGCTATATATAAAGACCAAGCCAAACCGCCACCAGGACTATCAATTATTGAGCATTTAGTCTATCAGCACAACAAATATTTTTTTCTTTCCACGAAGATTTTACAGATTTGAATACCATAACCATAAACCACTGGCATCTATGCAAATAAAATTAAAGCATTTTCCCTTACGCGGTTTCTGAATAGATTCATTGGCGCTCCATGTGGGTGCGACAAAATAATAAGTCAAAATGAAAGTGCAAGTCGTTAACATATTTATTTTAAAATACGTTAAGACTAACTTTACAGTAATAGATATTAGCTATATATATAACAGATGCAATCCATGATTAAAATAATGAAATATCACGGTCTATTCAGAAACCGGAACACGCACACAACTCTGTAAATATCTACATCGTACAGCGGATAAAAATCAATTTAAGTCCACCCCTATATACTTGGATTTAGCAATGGGTAATTAAACGCTATTATATACACAGTTATAATGTCCCATACTAAACTGTTTCATCACTTTCTCATTCAAAAAATGTTTCTTTAGAATTACAATAGCAGTTTTGAACGCAAAATCTATACAACTCTTTATAATCAAAAACAAGTAGGTTACTTTGTTCAAAATTTACATAAATATATAATACGCTATACAAGCGAAAACAAATATCTATTCAATATTCGCAAACTCACCCCGTTTAGGAATCAACTCTTAAATTACACTAAGGAAACTTAAACAATTTGATAGCATTTTATGAATGTGGAATCGATCGAATGTACATCGACTTTTTTCACGTATTATGTTTTGTGGAATTATACAAGTTTACTTTCTACAATCGTTAACGCTTATAGAAAAATATAAAAATGAATGGGAATGATATACAGGGTAATTTTGCAATATACGCCCAAATTTGCAGAGAAGGTTCAGAATAGGTAATATAGGCGAATGGTGAAGAAACTTATTAAAAAAAAAATCTCAAACATTCTGTCCTTTTCTGCCGACTTTCAAAAAGGAGACGGTACTCAATTCGACTGTATGTTTTTTATGTGTGTTACCTCATAACTTTTTACTGGGTGAACCGATTTCGATGATCCTTTTTTATATGAAAGCTGACACTTCTGGTGTGGGTCCCATATGAATTTGATCAAGGTCAGACCAATAGTTTTTGAGTTATACGTAATAACTTATTTTGAAGTCGGCTGTATAAAATTTTTAATTTTAAATTATTATCTTTTAAATTCAGAATGCGTGGTAATACATTATTTTATCTGATTATAACCTTTCATAAATATTTAACGACTACTATTTTACTACACACGCACGTTGCACGTCGCTCGGTCAGCAAAAATGTTGTGAATAGAAGACTGAAGCCTTATTTACTCGTATTTTCACAAACTGCAATATACGTATATCATTATTTATATATTTGAAATTAAATATAAAATTTGGATATTCTTTGAAAAATAACCCTGTATCATAACGTGAAGTCACGTGGCGTTACATTGATTTCATATTTATACCTAGTTTTATATTTACGTTAACGATTGAAGACAGTCAACTTCGCTAACTCAGCTGGTCGTTTAAGATCCTTCAACACCGTTTAAAACAGATGTTTGTGAAATTTTAACGAAATCGATACTAAATTATGAAAATCCATTGAACATGAGAGTAAAAGCGTTTTGCGTAAAACTTAAAGATAAACAGAAGCGCTAACACTTAAACAACGCGATGTATAAACTTAGACAAAACTTAACATGTATAACTTACACCGAACTTGGTTTAGGTAGAAGACATTGCTTTTATGGCAGATAATGGTTTTACAATCACAAGGTAAATTGGAAGCAACAGGTATCAACTGAACAAAATCGAGTCATTATTCTAGCTATTGAATATAATGTCATAGTATTCATTATAGTCAGACAGGGTTTTGCCTAGGAAGACTATCAGCGTATTAAAATCTAGAAGAAACATTTCCAATTTCTTTACTGTTAATATTCTAAAATATTCCTTTTCTTCATTAGATTTCAACATAAATTCTAGCATAAGGTAACTTAAATAAATTATAAGTATTTAGAAAATAAATACTACGAGTACACAGTCGTACTGTATAGTTATCAACGCTAAGGGAAGCATCGTCTAATGCAATTTTGAGGTCCGAAACTAAATCCGCATTTTCAATATATCTCCAAAGAGGATTGTTAAACAAATTGTAGCGCATTACTATCTCAATAAATATGTGATTTTGGTTCTTTAATGCGACAAATATCTTTTGAAAGCTTCCGTCATATTTCCAAAGAAAAACTCTATGAGTTTGCTAATTTTTCATTTTTTTATTATTAAAAAAATGTCAGCTACTTGTAAAGGTCTGGGTAAGGGCATTTTATGGAAGTAACGTAACGCTTTATGAAGTTCATAGAAAGCATTAATATAACAATTTCTAGGACTGATGTCTCAGTCATTGACTTGCATTGTAATAACAGTTTCACGATCATTTAACTGGGATATGACCAATATTTTAAACTTGAAAAAGTTTTATTTTAAACTTTTTTTTCGGTATAACAATAACATTTAAAATTTGTGGTTACCAATCATAAGTTGGTCTTTATTTGTCTTTTGGATGATTATTTCATCATTTTATATTGAATAAAGAAAATTATGACGACAAGAAAGGAATACATGCAAACTTTAAATCGGTCCGACTTTTGACATCGGAATAATTTAATATATTCATATGTATTAAACGAAGAGCCTATTTCTCTGGAATTTTAAGATTTAAGATTTTAAGATCGAAAGGAGTTGATATTATATTATCACAACTAAGTTAGTGATAGTGTTTAGTAAAAATAAATTACCAATCGTTCAAGCGGAGAAAGAAGTAAAGTTTCTCTTTATATACTTTCAAAAAGTTATTTTCATATTCTTACAGCTGTAAACCCGCACAGCTGTGGTAAAGAAAGGCTTTTACAAAACCCGTTTTTTTCTTCTTCATATTATTCATAGATTCGGAAATAGTTTTATCACTGCCTATTAATTCAATTTAACAATTCTATACAATCATTGTTTCAAACATTTTTAATTACACAAGACTATAATATCGATACTCAATTCCAACTAACTCATTATTGGCTAATTTTTTTAATAATTTTGAGCTTCCACACCTATTTTAATATAACAATAGCAAATATTTTTAAAGAACCTCTTAATTAGATCAGGCTTATAGATGGAATAACTTCTAAAATTATATCATGGAAATAAATTTTCATCTAACGTTTACTATTTAATTTTAAATCAACACAAAATCTACTCAGTATAGATACAAAGAAATTGTGCTAACTCGTTAAAACTACTGTAACAACTGTTTGAGATAAATTGACAAAAAGTTAACTGCGCATTAATATTTTTTTAATAAAAACCTAATACTCAATATTTTCAACTGTTACAGACATAATATCTGATGTTAAAAATATCGAATACTTTAAAGGTGTAAGCAGTTTTCCATTGATCTATAGTTTAACTGTAATATGTAAATTACAATGAAGTGAGTTAGTGTTATTTATTGTATAATATTTATTCGTATATGCAATAACAGGATTTTGAAGTTTATATTCGAAAATACTTATAGAGCTGTAATAAAGATTAAAAATCATTTCGAATGTATTTTACAAAGAATACGTTTTTAACAGAATAATCAGCTAGCGCATGTAAAGTAAAATTATAAATAATTAAAAAAAAACATTTGTAGGTACTGTCACATAGACAGTTACTAGTAGGAATTGGTTAATTCACCTCACCACATAAATTTAGTGGAAGCAAATGTGGAACAGCTTTTTATAACTTTACAAGAGAAGAACATTTTCTAAACCAAAAGAAAAACATTTTCTAATCCATTTGAATTTCATCGTCTCACAATATTTTATTGGTGTCAATTATCGCGGATGTTTGACGTGATGCCATTTTATAGCAAACGTCAGCGTGATAAAAGATATTTTGTCGCGGCAAATACGGAAGCAATTCCTAATTTTAACTGGGCGCTGTCAATTGATTTTTCTAAAAGCACGTGGTATCAGGCGATAGCTAGAAGGCGTGCGGTTCTTGTTAATAAGTCCACAAGGCGACGCCAAATATTCCGCAACGCGTTGGAACGACTGAACAGAAATCTCCAAACGAACAACACGCTAGCCACTTGTGTAATAATATGCACTATTTGTAACCTGTAAATGAGAAATGTTTTATTAAAATATGCGATGAACAGTTCATATCTTAGAGTAATAGTAACTTGTTTACTTTACAAACTCACAGCTTTACTCATAAAAGTCAAATTCAATTTAACTTTTAATGATTAACTTTTTTTATATAGGATAGGGTGACAAACGAGCACACAGTCCACCTGATGGTAAGTGGTTACTGTGACCCATAGACATCTAAATCTATCCTCAATAAAGACTCAAGATGCAGATGCGTTGTCACCCTTGAGGACTAAGATGGAATGCCTCTTTGCCAGTAAAAAGGGTCTCCGGTTCTCTACACTTACCATACGAAACACAGCAGCGTTAAGATGCTATTTTACGCTGGTTTTCTGTGAGAGCGTAGTCCTTCCCCGATCGAGCCGACCCATTCGTGCTACAACTATACAACTAATATAGCTGCAGCATGGCTTTAAGGTAACTTTAAGAAAACCTTTTCCCTAAATGGAAATAGAAAGAGTCAGCTGACAGGTAATACTAAATTTAAGTAAGATCATCGATCAACGATTATTATATATATATATAAACTTCACGAACATTTTAGGTGACGCCAAAACCATGCGTAGCTTCTTTACAATCACTCATTCAAACAACTTTTTTTCTGTCTTTCTTGATATCTCTACTGCTAGTCTTACACATATTATGCGCCTAAAGTCCTTTTCTGCCGTCTTTCAAAAAGGAGACGGTACTCAATTCGACTGTATGTTTTTTTTATGTGTGTTACCTCATAACTTTTTACTGGGTGAACCGATTTCGATGATTCTTTTTTTATTTGAAAGCTGGTACTTCTCGTGTGGTCCCTTAATTTTATCAAACTTAGACCAATAGTTTTTGAGTTATTGTTAATAACTTATATTGAAGTTGGCTGTACAAAATTTTTAATTTGTTTTACAATAAGTTGAGCATGGTTTCGATTGGATATCGACGTCATTTGAAATGTACGTAGTGTTCAGTCTATCTTCCTTTATCTGACTAAACAATAAAAATGACGGGACTTATAAGTATTGTAATAGTCTATGTGCTAAAAGACGGCTTAGGTAATTGTAAAGAGTTACTTCTTTCCAATGAAATCAATAACCTTTATACGAAATGAATTATACGAGATGTGATTACAACAATTCCTTCTTTCTATGGAATAAGCCAATGCCCTGCAGTAGACTTAAGACTCTTTTTTATAGAACTGAAATGATAAACGAACTTACAGCCACACGGTGGTTAGTGGTTATTTCAGTTCATGAGCACTTGCAGCCGACTTTCAACAAAGAAGGCTACAGAAGCGTTGTCACGCTTAACGACTAAGATGCAATGCCTCACAGCCTTTTTTATAGGATAAGGGTGACAAACGAGCACACAGGTAAGTGGTTGCTGTGGCATAGACATCTACATCTATTTTCGATTACGAATCAAAATGCAGATGCGCTGTCACCCGTGAGGACTAAGATGGAATGCCTCGTTTCCAGTAAAAAGGGTCTCCAGTTCTCTACACTCACCATACGAAACACAGCAACGTTAAGCTGCCATTTTACGCTGGTATTCTGAGAGCGTGGTCCTTCTCCGGTCGAGCCGACCTATTCGTGCTACAACCATAATATAGCTGCAGCATGGCTCTACCACGTATAAAGCCTAATGTAATTACACTGTTTTTATTTCCTTCAGTTCAAAACTGGTGTGCAGTGCACCCTCGGACGGACTCCGAGACAGAAAAATAGTCCTACCACCCAGAAACTCATTTAACTTAGTTTACTGTTAAAAAATTAAATAGAAAAAGAAACTAGTACAAAGGAGAATATTGTATTACCTCCTAAGGATCGTCCGCGATTTGGGCAGCGTGTTTGGGCTCTCCTTGAACAGGAACCTCCTGATGCCGAGAACGTAGGATTCGATGTAGGCGTCCCAGTCTATGTTGGTGACGTCGAAGTCGAAGGTGGCGCGGTCTTCGGCAGACAGGCATCCGCATAACGCCTGTACGTTGTCATCCGAAAACGCCCATTGGCGAGTCGTGAAATATTCCAGACATCCGGACGCTTTTTCTAGTTTGTTTTGGACTCTCACCATCCTAGAACGACAATTGAATAAAAACATTAGCACGATGGAAACATTTATGACGATGAACAAACATTTTTAGTATTTTTAACACGTCTCATTTTTATTTAGAACTTATTTAGCTGCATTGATCGATCTTTTTTAGGGGAAAAACTTATGGGTTCGCGTCACCGATGACCTCGACATGTCTACTACGTGTCGTTAGTCTTTCTTGCACTAACGGCCTGTGTACATGTATATGCATATATCATTAAGTTTTTACTTCTATTGGCAGTCCTTATTATTGACAAACGAGCACAGTCCATGAATGCGATTAAGAATCAAAATGTAGATGCGTTGCTACCCCTGAGAACAAAGAAGTCTCTTGATCAGTAAAAAAAAAATAACTTTTAATTTCTTAGTAGTCGGCGTTTCCTTAAAATCGGTTCATAATAAATCGAACTCCGGTTTTATACACTCACTATACGGAACACAACAGCATTATGCTTCCTTGTGGTCTTTCTCCAGGCGAGCCGATCCATTCCTACCGCAGTCATAATGTAACTGCAGTGGCTCCACCATACATACATAGTTATATTAGTAGTAGTTAGTTTTTTTTTATAGAATAAGGGTGACAAACGAGGAGTCCATCTGATGGCAAATGGATGCTGTGGCCCATAAATATCTAAATCTATCCCCGGTTAAAAATCTAAATGCAGATTCTTTGTCACCCTTGAGGACTTAGATGGAATACCTCGTTTCCAGTAAAAAGAGTATCCGTTTAAATATATAATAATACTAGCTGGCCAGGCAGACGTTGTTCTACCCTTTTCGAGGACCCTTCATATAGAAAATCCTTAAATTCGTAATAAAAAATATTGAGTTTCACTTATCAGGATAAAAACTACCCTATCTAATTAATAGAATCAGGCGTTACTTTGCGGAAGTCCATTATATTAAGTGACCGCTAAGTGAGCGACGAGCCAAAACAACTGCTATTTATACAGACAATGACATAGCGGTTAGCCACCGTACAGTCTATATCACCTGAGGATGCCTCGTGTAGAGGCGAAACACGTATCGTATTGTCGTCAGTGGTGTGTCTTTCCTAGTGTAGTGGTGTTGGGAATATTGGTGCTGGGATTAGTGGTGACGGGGATAGTGCACGCAATTGAGGGAGGGCGGGAGGTGCTCTTCAAACTAGGTAAGACACATCGTTTCATTTTATCGAGCGGTTGCACGCAAAGTAATTTTTGTCAACTTTACTATCCTATCTCTCAAGTTGGACCAAACTGCACTCAGTGTGCAAAATTTCATTGAAATCAGTTCAGTAGTTTAGTTCATCGCGGACAAACAACGTGACACGTAATTTTTATATATAAAGATATACAGCCAGGAATTCAGAGACACTCTCGAGTTTAAACTTAATTTCGGTGTCAAAATTTGTGTAAATAGTATGGCCTAGACTCAATTTTGACATTGTAGTGTCTGAGTTAAAACTCCAGATTGTCCTGAATAAATTACAGATTGTCCTTTAGAAATGCATAGATTATTATGGGTAAATTTTCAGTCGATGTAAATTTTTTTAGAAAGTTTCTAGTTTGCTACCAGTGGTTGTTTCATAAAAAAAGAATACTCTGGCCACTATTGCTAAGTCAAGAAATAAAGTTTTGGAAATTTCACAACAACAAATAAAAAAAATTAACTTTTTTTTCAACCATAAAAACGTGATTTTTTTCCAGTTCTTGACAAGATATCTGTACTTATTTTGTACAGCATCTTCCTGATAATAACTCCAAAAAGACTGTGTCTCATCCATCCACCTGTCTAGCGTGGCAGCTATGGCAGAATCCCCCATATGAGGTAATCTATGGGGAGGCCTATGTTCAGCAGTATTTTTATAGGATGTAATGGATGATTTTTCATGCCACAGAGTCGATTCTCAACATAGCCGATCATAGGCAATATTTTCTTTTTACACATAAGACTTTATAACACACATGGATATATAAGACAAACTCACATGGGTTTTTTACCAGTCGCCCTGGAGACGAGGTCCATGACGTGTGCGGGAAGGCGGTGCTGCAGAAGCGACAACGCGCTGTGCTTCATGCGATTGCTAGTAATATCCCCGCCAGGATACCAAATGACCTCTCCTGTAAAATAAATTATTAAATTACAACATTTTTATATATTGATACTCGACTTTCTATTAAAGAAAGATTAATTCTGTTGTGTATTCTTTTTTATTCACGAAAAATTCAACGAGCACACAGCACACAATACACTAGACAACCGGATACTGTGACCAATAGACACATTCATCATCATGCGTGGTATCTAGTGCCCCATATCATCCCGTGAATTAAATAAAGGTCTTGGACAGAAACGTCTTTCTAAAAACGACTCAAAATAAAAAATATACTGCTGGTGCCAACCCGCTTGCCAAGCGTGGCCACTATGACAAATATCTCTTGGCTCTTCTTACCCTACCATGACAGTTCCACATGGGCTCCTCCCAAATTATGTAGTCGACACTATCGTTAATAAATTACTACATCATATAATTTGAATTTCCTACTTTAGTGTGTTAAAACTTTTATTATTTAGTTGTTTTTTTTTTATATAGAATAAGGGTGACAAACGAACACACAGTCCCCCTGATAAGTGGATGCTATGGCCCATAGAAATCTATATTTATCCTTAATTAAGAATCAAATTGCAGATGCGTGGTCACCCCTGAGGACTAAGATGGAATGCCTCGTTTCCAGCAAAAACGGTATCCGGTTCTCTGCACCCACCATACGAAACACAGCATCATTGAGATGCTATTTTATGCTGGTATTCTGTGAGACGTGGTCCCCCATTACCCCGGTCGAGCCGACCTATACGGGCTGTAGTCATAGTATAGCTGCGGCCTGGCTCTGCCACGTAGATTTAGTATTATATAAATAAGATTACATAAAACCATGGCGTCATTACATGGCATAGATCAAAGGAAATAAATAACAAAGAACTTACTAAACGGATGTTTCCTCATATACTTGAAGCTGGTCTTGACAAAACGTTGCCACGTGATTGGGTTCTGTTGGCCAGTGCAGCAGTTGTATACCACTACACCATCTCCTCTGCAAAAGTCATCGATCGAAATATCATGTCCACAGTTCACCTAGTTCATATTTCATGTATCTTTTACAGACTGGCGAACTCTTTTCTGAGATAATACCCTCTTTAAAATTTGAGAAGGTTTGTTTTGAGACATTTTACATAAGTTTATAATAGTATATAACTTCTCATGTATTCGAAATATTTTTTTTCTTATTCTCAGACATGCAGGTTTCCTTATGATGTTTTCCTTCACTACCGAGCACGTGGTAAATCAGCACTCAAAATTGCAATTAACAATTTCATTGGTGCCGGCGGGGATCGAACCCGGAAAATTTATAGCGTCTGTTAGTGATCGTGTAATTTTTGAACGGCTTGACCTATAGAGGCTATGGTTCATAGTTCTAATAGACTTTGTAGTAAATTTACTAACAAATTCTATTAAATGCAAATTAGATAAGGGTCAGTAGCCTAATGGCAGGGCGAGGACCGCAGCAAACTCGAAAGGTCGTGGGTTCGCCATTCGACTACTGTCGTGAACCACTTCTAACACAAGCATTTTAAGCTTACCAGAAGTGGTTAAAGGGAATATTAGTAATGTTTAGTATTTAAAAAAAAATAAAGATAGCGGATTAATATGGCTGTAGCGTGGCTCTACCACGTAAATAATATAATATAGAGTGACAAACGGCCTAAAATAAACAACCTAAAGGTGCGTGTGTGTGATGTGTATGTAATAGTGCATATACATAGGCACTAGAGGCGTTCAATTCAAGGTGGGAGGCAGTATGTTACAGTTAAAAAATGTTATTTTACATTTTGATATAGTCAAATTTTAGCGTACTTGATGTATTTAGAATATCTTTGTTCTAAGCTTAAAATTCCCTTCTTAAAGACATTTTGATCCTGAAAACCTAAAATTTTCTGTACCTATAAAAATGCTGTTGTATATAATAATATATTTAATTTCCCTGTAAATAAACAAAGGATGCTGAAAGGAGAATGGGACTTTTAGGTTATCAAATTGATTTAAACTTTAAAAAGCTAGCTCATTTTACAATATAGAATTCGAAAAAAGATTAAAATAAGAAATAATTTAGATAATCGATTGTATAATTAATCGGATACAAAAAATAAAAATAAAATAAATAAGCTTCCAAGATGCCATTGAAATTAAATTATTGTAATTAATATATATAATTCGCATAAGGCAAAAAATAAATATACATTATCATGTTAATAGATTGATTAACATAAATAATCGATACATTTGTAAAATTCTCGTCTCTGAATACTTATCACTAAATGTCTTCTCATTTTTGCTAATTGACATTTCAAATTCGAAAACTAATTTAAAAAAAAACAGTTTTAAATTAGGTTTGAAACGAACGAAATATAATTAATTCTTGACCAAATCGAGCATTTTAAGATCAATTTTTGATTAATTTTCTGTGTTAATTAGGGAGATAAAAAAGAATTGCGAATTAACGTACCGACAGACACTGTAACATACCTACAAAATAATCAAACAGTGCAAAATATCAACATGCCAACAATTAGCATCAAGCAACGAATCAAGTAATCGATGTCACGTCGACATATCTACTATTTACTTCACTTGAAACATTCGTTATTGCTGATGTTTTAACTTCCGTTAGTCGTTTCACTTGGTGACCCCAGCTTTTCTTTAGTGACTGCTTCTTTATTGACCCTTGGTTCGTTATTGGATACCGAGACTCTTGCTTACTCGACTGACTTTACTTTGTTATGTTGGAATACGTTACAAGCCTTTAGATTGGATATTAACATTATAGACTGTCGTTTAAATTGTAATACGCTTATATAAGGTATATACACGTTTATAAATATAATTGTATCTTAAAGTGACTATAGTGAAAAATCGACTATTAAAATGTTACAGGTAGTACATAACCTCACTTCTACTTATTTTTCCAAAACTCAGCTTCTAAATTCACATATCTGACCAGATTTTATGCTATGAATTGTTTATATGTAAGCTTTAAATTTGTCTACTTTCTTTATCTTGTTAACACCTGGGTACCAAAAATATATGGAAACGTTTCCTTCACCTGTATCTCAATTTTCCATAAATACAATCAAACGTTTTCCCGCTTCACGCATTGCTAATAAATACTATCAACCAATGGAATGCGACATATATTTCATGTCACCAGACCACCATGTATTTAAAATAAAAATGACCAACGAACTTTCACTCCACCTTATAGGAAGTGGCTACTGCATGGACAAGTGCAGGCAACTTCAAATGAAGAAAGGTTACAAATGCGGTGTCAATTCCGAGGGCTAAGATGGAATGCATCACAGCTTACTGGCCCTCCGTACCTTTCACTATTATTTGGTGGCAGGAACAACTAGTAGTTCTTGTGTTATTATTTATTCTGTGGTAGTAGTATAAAATACATTCTTAGATAGCGAGTATTGTAACATAAAGTTCGAAACAGATTTTATAACAACCAGTTCCTACATTATTTAGTAGAACAGGTACGGTAAATAAGGAAGCTCTTTCCAGATAGAGTAGGATAGAGTAGTGTTGTCAATTGTAATATATCAAGAGCCGTGGTATCTCAGGGGTTAAGTACTCGCTGTAAATTTCATACGTAAGCGTAAAAGCGAGCAACCCGGGTTCGAACCCTGCTGATTCAAATGGAATTATTAATGTCAAATTTTAAGTGCCGTAATTCTCTATAGGCAGTAAAGGAAAAAAATCGCAAGAAAACCAAATTTTCGTGAAAAAAATATTTCGAAGACATCTGAAGTTCAAAAATACGCATAGAGACTGCGCTGTGGACATTCCTTAAATCTAATACCCTCTCAGATATGATATGAGGTCTGTACCCAGCAGTAGGACGTATATTGACTTTACTAGTATATAGTTTACTTCATCATCATCATCATCACAGTCCTTCACAAGTCCACTGAAGAACATAGGCCTCCCCCAAAGAATGCCACAAAGCACGTTCCTGAGCCACCTGCATCCATCGACTTTCTGCATATCTTACCAGGTCGTCACTCCATCTAGTGAGGGGACGCCCTACACTTCGTCCGCCGGTACGAGGCCGCCACTCGAGAACCTTTTTTCCCCATCAGTTGTCGGTTCTTCGAGCTATATGGCCGGCCCATTGCCACTTCAGCTTACTAATCCGTTGGGCTATGTCGGTCACTCTGGTTCTACTGCGGATATCCTCATTTCTAAGTTTATCATGCAGAGAAACTCCGAGCATAGCCCTTTCCATAGCTCGCTGAGCGACCTTGAGCTACTTCATCCGGCCAGCAGTGAAGGACCATGTCTCATTTCTATAGGTCATCACTGGCAACACGCACTGGTTGTACAGTCTCGTTTTCAAGTTTTGAGGTATACCTGACGAGAAGATGTGCCGTAATTTCCCAAACGCAGTCCAACCGAGTTGAATACAGAGTTGAAATAGTTTACTTACATGCATATAATTAAAGTAATATTTCTTACCTTTTAAAATGTGTCCTCCACGCGCAAACAATCATGAGGTTAATAACTGTGTCGACTGGCACGAGATCGGCAACGCGGGTCCCGTTGCCTAACATAGTGCGGAAGATTCCTTTGCCAACTGCTGCGATGATACCATTGGGCCCGTTCCAATTGTCCACCCAGCCCTTCACAGGCTCTCGAACTGAGGAGAGCACTAGAAGAAATAACGAACGATGTTATTATAATCAGCTGCTCTACCCAATAATTTCTTAGAATAGATTAGGTGATAGGGCTCCTTTTCTGCCTAGACTCCGTCTGGCTAGGTTTTTTTTATTAGAATAAAGGTGACAAACGAGCACACAGTCCACCTGATGGCAAGTGGTTGCTGTGGCCCATAGACATCTACATCCTCGTTCCTCGTTTGCGAATCAAAATGCAGATGCGTTGTCAACCGTGAGGACTTAGATGGTATGCCTGTTTTCCAGTATAAAGGGTCTCCGGTTCTCTGTGCTCACCATACGAAACACAGCAGCATTAAGCTGCTATTTTACGCTGGTAAAATATAAGCTGGTAAGGTATATGTACCACCGTCTTACCTGTTTCTATTACCAAGCAGCAGTGCGTGTACAGCTACATAGCTGGTACATGCCGGTTTGAAGGTTATAATTACAAAAGTTGGTTGAGTAAGTCATGTAGGGCAGCAGTAGTTACTAACCGTCTAGCTGGACTCGATCATTTATCACTTCAGTTTTATAAAAGTATGCAGTACCACAAATAGGAGGAGGTACACAATTCGATTATGTTTTCTTTTTATGTGTGTTACCTCATAACTTTATTCTCGGTGAACCGAATTCGATGATTCTTCTTTTTATTTCAAGGATGGTGCTTCTCATGTGGTCCCATATAAATTTGATCAAGATCAGACCAGTAGTTTTTGAGTTATCATTAATGATTTTACCACTCGTTATTTGTATAGGATTCGAGCGGGGATTAATACAACCTGTTTTTTTTTTGCTGTTGTTTGTTGCCTGTTTCTACCGTGGTCCGGTTTGAAGGATATGAGAGACAGTATCATTTACATGCCAAAAAGGCATCTTGATCTTCGGATTCTTTCTTAATTTTTATGTTGGTTGCAGGTGCTTTTAGATTTCCGTACCGGCAGACCATAAGGTAGACTTTAACTCGTTTGTAACATTATGTTATAAAAATAAAACTATAATGACACCAATGATCATAATACTTTCCTTTCCTTTATATTTTAATTAAGTTACTTCCACTAAGAATTTCTTCTGCATTGCGAAGGCGTTTTATATATATTAAATGGAAATGGAATCAAACATCCGGATCCAGAAAAATTATTTTGTTGGCCGTAAGAATACATCTCCGTAAGACTTACTTCTTTACGGGTATTTTCCGTATGGGATTGCTAGTTGCGGTTCGAAACACCGCAGTCAAACAAAAGCATTAAATAGCGGGAGCATGACAAAATCTTTCTTCGGAAATAGAATATCTGACGCTGGATACAAGCCTACCAGGCTCTTTTTTCACGTCTACATGTTACATGTAAGGCATTGAAATGTGCCTCTTGGTGTCCAAGCGCCACTCCACTTAAAATAAGAATTGAGGATTTTCTTTCTCTTTACTCAGTAGGAGCGGAAGCGTTTCCGTATCTTCAACAAAGGGCATAGAGATGTGAACAAAACCCCTCAGTTATTGTGTACTCACTTAACTCGCACAGGTTATGCAAATTTCTATAATATATAAGTTTAGATAACACACCTATCGAGGGTCTGACGATCGCCACCGGCAAATTTCCACATTCCTTAATAAGCATGTCTTCAGCAAGAGCCTTTGTAAATGTGTATGTATTAGGCCTGTCTCCTGTAACAGTAACAAATAAAAATATGTATTAAAATTTTGTATTGACCATTTATTTACAAATTGGGGGATAAGGCCTGAGGAATGATTTGATTTTTGTTGTTAATATTGTAACATATAATTATGACGGTAAACTGTTGGCATATTTAAAAAAAAAGTCCCGCTGTGTTACTTGCTGCTTTCTTCCCAGGACAGAGGTATTTCTAGAACCAGTCGTAAATTAAACATAAGAGTGATTGATAAAATCCAATATAGCTGCAGGCATGGCTCTACCACGTATAATCCGAACAATATCGTGTTATTAGAAATACGCTGTTATTATACGTAATATATTAGATTGTATTATCGTTGAGTATTTAATACCCTTCCTTTCATATAATATACTTTCTCCCTAATCATTGCATTGCAATTTAAATAAGACCATACTATAAATATTTTGTAAGAAATAATTATTATTGTTACTCGGACTAAGAAATAATAAAGAACGCTGAAGAGCTGCGTATATTTTGACTGACTCAGAAAGCAATACCAAACCATGCTCGACTTATTATAAAAACTCGCTTTCCCGTACAATGCATCTAAAATCATTTACAATTAACAACATTGTTTTAGGTGCACACATGTGCGCCCAGCAATGAACTTTTCCCGTTCTTTAAAGAAATTAATAAAAAAGATGTGTGAGTGCGGTTGCTAATTCGCCTGTCAAACGTGGCAACTATGACAAATGTTCTTCTTTTGGCGGGAACTTGACCGGCGGCGGTTTGCTGCTCCCGTATTATTGTTTAAATAATGGTTTCAGGTGGACTTTAATATGTAAAAGTTGTGCGATTTTGTGTATTAAGTGTCTGCCCATGTGAAATATTAGTGAAAACGGTGAAACAAGTGCTCTGATGGTGATGTGATTCTCAAGATAAGGTCTCTGCTTAGGCGCCTTGAGATACCATTATCAACTGTCAACTGTCTGCTGGTTCAAGTTGCCATCAAAATCTCCCAAGGGCTGCACAATGTGACGCATCAACATATTGCGAAGCAGTGTACTATGAAGGATAATTATACATTGTAACTTCAGGCTCAGAAGGGCTAGAACCCAGAGTCGTATAGCCAGTTATAAAAAGAAAATTATGAAGCAATCAATGGAGAGGTCAGCAGTTAACTTTGATAGGATGAATTACTATCTATATTATATTACGATGCTCTCAGCAAGATATATCTCGGTGAGTTTTCTTGCTTCGTGGTTTATTAATCGCCACATTTTAAGTAAAATGCAGCTCAGTCAGCAAAAGATTAAACTTATGTTGAATATATTGCTAAATGTAATGCCGTTACTCAAATGGTAAATAAAATTAAAGTTGCCACGTCGTCACAGAAGGTTTTTGGTCGCAGAAGTACGGCAAAGCTTAGTTTATTAATTAGCTTTTTTAATTTTAGTAAATAAAAAAGTAATTAATCATATTTTTTTACATTGCGTTGAATTTGAATTTAGAGTTTTCTATTTAAATAAAGAGAAGTAATTAAATGTTAAGCCGTAATAAAATTTGGTTAGCCACAAAAAACAGCATTTAAATTATTTAATTAAGAAACCCTAATTACTTTTTTACTTAAGTTAGCATCTTAAGTAAAAAAATAATTAAGTTAGCATTCAAAGACTCTGTTTGCAATAAAAATAAAAATAAACATTCGGCAATTCTTGTTTCGCAAATAATCTTGATAATGTTCAGTAATTTAATCATAAATAGGTAGCTTACAATAATATGAGTTTGCCTAATAAACAGTCAATCCGCTAAATACTTTATTGATCAGCAAGATTCACGATTGGTTAGCAAAGAAAATACGTATGCTGTCAAAAAATTAGGTTTATTCACATTTAAAGGTAAATGTGAATCAAGTGCGAAGGCATGTTAAATTAAAGATTCGAATTATTCATTTTGAATAAAATAACAAATTATTAACACCACTTTACAGAGAATCATACACTACTATTTCACATGTTATTATCACCTCACAGGCATATCACACATATCATAAGTACTATTAGTTTGTAAAAGTATGGCACTCCAAAATTCATACTCAAATATGTAGTGTTATGCTACTTACATATCATTTTACACTATTTTAAATTCATTTTTTCATTCTGTTTTGATTTTCTGCATTCACCTCAAAACTGGATATTTTGTATCACCTTTATTTCCATAGGATCCTGTAACGTTTTTAAACCATAAGAATACAATAACAAATCATTTTCACTTTGTATTTTCACGCTATCAGCACTTTTTAAATCGGTGTCGATGGAGTCTACCTTTTTCGATCTTTTATTTAGTTCTCCGTAACTCTGCAATTTCGGGCTTCGTGCGCGCTAGTGCGCTACCTTTTTTCCTATATCAATAATAATTCATTTTTCACTTAAATCTTGCCGTTTCTCTATTACGAGCCTAAAACCAAAATTTGACATGTTTTGACATCGTTGTTTATCTGGTTGTCATGGCAATTTTTATTCAAATTCGCTACCGGTCTGTTGTTTCTACTTCGATAATTCCACATAAATACTCTTTCCTCTTAGCCATTTACAAAAAATTTGCTTTTAATTTAAATAATTTTCCGTTCTCTCTAAAAAGGTATAAAAGCCGAACAATCGGTCAAGAAACTCAGTCTCGCTTCGGTTCTCAAACTCGAAGCATCTCCTAAAGGCCTTATCCCGGGGCCGCACTGCCCCGGGATCCTGCAAGCCTCTGCCCTGCCTAAAGTCGCCGGATCCTGCAAGCCTCTGTCCTGCCTGAAGTCGCCGGATCCTGCAAGACTCTGTCCTGCCTGAAGTCGCCGGGACTCTGCAAGCCTCTGTCCTGCCTGAAGTCGCCGGATCCTGCAAGCCTCTGTCCTGCCTGAAGTCGCCGGATCCTGCAAGACTCTGTCCTGCCTGAAGTCGCCGGATCCTGCAAGCCTCTGCCCTGCCTGAAGTCGCCGGATCCTACAAGCCTCTGTCCTGCCTGAAGTCGCCAGATCCTGCAGGCCTCTGTCCTGCCTGAAGTCGCTGGGATCCTGCAAGCTTCTGTCTTGCCTGAAGTCGCCGGATCTTGCAAACCTCTGCATTCACCTGAAGTCGTCGCCTAGACGCGCCCACGCCTTCACCTACGCTGTGCGTGCTCGTTCCAGGCGCTGTGGGCCTACCACCAACACAGCCTGTGTATAATCTGTGGGCAGCGAAGACCACCACCAAAAGCGGTGTACCACTTGGATCTTCGGCCTCAGCTTCAATACTCATCATTTTTATTATCTTTTTTTTTTAAATAATTGTAAATCACGTCACCCATCTTCATCCTCATAGATCATTTTTTTTATATAAATCTGTAAACATCTTTCTTTATATTTTAAATAGATTATTTGTTTTGCCCTATTTTTGTTGTCTTGTTGTTACTAGGTTAGGTTCTTTTTTGTTTTTAATTGTCGCTTCACGACAAATATTATCGTGAACTCTCCTTTATCAAATACTATAAATTATAAAATTATTATTCTCTATAGTACCAATTTTGCAGTGAGTGTAATGTGATTACTTACTGGGCTTTTGCGATTTATTTCTTAGGCTTTTGTTATAAACATAGACTTAATAATAAGTGAAAATATTGCAATAAAGATTTCAGATTACAAAGATTTACAAAAACTAGTAAAAAGCTTAGCTGTGATGAGTCACAAGTCATAAAATTTATTAAATATTGTCCACCTACGCTGTGCGTGCTCGTTCCAGGCGCTGTGGGCCTACCACCAACACAGCCTGTGTATAATCTGTGGGCAGCGAAGACCACCACCAAAAGCGGTGTACCACTTGGATCTTCGGCCTCAGCTTCAATACTCATCATTTTTATTATCTTTTTTTTTTAAATAATTGTAAATCACGTCACCCATCTTCATCCTCATACATCATTTTTTTTATATAAATCTGTAAACATCTTTTTTTATATTTTAAATAGATTATTTGTTTTGCCCTATTTTTGTTGTCTTGTTGTTACTAGGTTAGGTTCTTTTTTGTTTTTAATTGTCGCTTCACGACAAATATTATCGTGAACTCTCCTTTATCAAATACTATAAATTATAAAATTATTATTCTCTATAGTACCAATTTTGCAGTGAGTGTAATGTGATTCCTTACTGGGCTTTTGCGATTTATTTCTTAGGCTTTTGTTATAAACATAGACTTAATAATAAGTGAAAATATTGCAATAAAGATTTCAGATTACAAAGATTTACAAAAACTAGTAAAAAGCTTAGCTGTGATGAGTCACAAGTCATAAAATTTATTAAATATTGTCCTTCATGAATATTACATTTATTCCAAGTGGAGTTCAGAGGTATAGTTAAGATATAAGGTAGAATTTCACTCCAACTGTGATTGCATGGGATAAAATAAATGAGAGAATCTTAAGCCTTTCCTGTGAATATTTAATAGAAAGTATAACACAAGATATTGATAAATTTAATATTAACTCACAAAAACCCATTTAGAAAAGCATTTCTGAAGTTATAAAAGGTAAAATTAAAATTTACTTAAATTAAACGGGAACAGATATTCCAGATTATTGTGTTTTTCGCAATCACTCACGATAAATCAATCACTCTTTCGTTCTTCTACGGGCCACTTCTACTGCTATCAAGCTCCTTAAGTGTATAAGAAAATGTTATAAAATAAAGATAATTTAATTTATGTTATTAAATCTAATATGTAATATAAATCTTCATTGGTATTATGATTCGCAACCCTGCCTTCAAACATCTACAGATTGTAAAGAACGTCTCGGACAAGGAAAGAGTATAATTAAATGGTTAAACAAACTTACCTTAAGTGAAGTTCAACCATAATTATACGACGCTCCTTGTCCGAGACGGTACTCTCAGCCCAACGCACCCTGGGTTAGGGTTTTTTTTTATAGGATTGGGTGACAAACGAGCACACAGTCCACCTGATGGTAAGTGGTTACTGTGACCCATAGACATCTACATCTATCCTCAATAAAGACTCAAGATGCAGATGCGTTGTCACCCGTGAGGCCTAAGATGGAATGCCTCTTTGTCAGTAAAAAGGGTCTCCGGTTCTCTACACTCACCATATGAAACACAGCAGCGTTAAGCTGCTATTTTACGCTGGTTTTCTGTGAGAGCGTGGTCCTTCCCCGGTCGAGCCGACCCATTCGTGCTACAACCATAATATAGCTGCAGCATGGCTCTACCACTTAATTGGTTGCTCATCTGATCCCTTGCTTTAAACATAATGACATTGCATTTTACGGACGGCTAGATAGTGTTGTGTATACGTTCTGCCGATCCAAAAATTTTTTAGGAGCTTGGAGAACTGTGATATACTGGTATAGAATACATAAGATAAGATCGAATAAGTTCGTTTAACCATTTAATTATATTCAAATTGTGGATCAAAATAATCTTTGTGAGTTTGTACATTTTAAAACTATAGAATTGTACATTTAATAATAGGAATTTACATTATAGCCTTTCTTCATAATACAAATTGCACAGTAATTAAAATGAATAAATTAGTAAATTATCAATTAAATACATTTTGTTTTATCTATACATATAATAAATCTGTGTGTAATGTATCTGTGTCTGTAATTCTAATATTTTCTGGAAAAACATTTCCAGGGGACTAAATAAAGGGCACTGAAGCCAAATTAGTGGCTTTTAGAATTTTTTTCTGTCTGTCTGTGTATTCCCGATTCACGCAAAAACTACTGAATAGATTTACATGAAATTTTGTGTTTAGGTAATTAAGGATCCGGGGCAACTTATAGGCTACTTTTATTCGATTGTGGAACTTTAAAAAAGGATGGTTAAGTATTTTCCTCCCTCAAGATGTTAATTTCTATTTTATTTTATTGATTATTGATGTGTTTTCTAAATAAATAACATATTTATAAATAAATCCTCAAATTAGTTTTAACCGTTGCCTAATAATTTGAATTACGCCGATAATCCACGTTTCACTTATCGAAACAGTGCCATCAAACTTGAAATTCAAAAAGTAAAATTTTACCTCTAGTTACTAATAAATAAAATTAAAATAAATAACTTACATTTATATTTTTAAATAATTTCATTCTTAATAAATTGAAAATTATAATGTTTATTTTTCAGTTCCCTCGTTATTTCATTTTAGTAGGAATTAATAAAGTTTATAGTAACTAATTACTACTTAAATGGATAATAATGACATCTATCGAAAAACATAAAATGTGAGATGTTTCTGAGCTTAATTTCTAATCTATAAAAAAGTTTTGTTTATCTATAAATAAACTGATAGAAACTGTAATAATTCCAAAACTCTTATTATCCACATAGTTTAAATAAAGAAATTTTTATCTATGGCCAGATCTTAGAATTAATAATATTATAAAGTGGTCGATTATGGCACGAAATGATGGCATTCAATTAAATTTAACATTGTTTTTGACTATATCATGATATACCAAATCAATGAATAAAGATCGTTTGGCGATATTAACAACTACATACAATATTGCTATTTCTTTATATTGTTTATATCGTAAAATAATTTCGTTACATACCGCTAGCAGCGCTGATAGCGTATTTTTGACAGGAGCAGAATTTTTAATAGAATCTACATCACTTTACTCTAACTTATTATCGCTGAGTACATATACTAGAGAGTACAGTTTTTGTTTTCATAGTTTTAATTTCATAACAGCGTCATCTACTTACTGCTAAATAAACAAATAATAAGCAACTGATGAAATTGAAGCGAATTCTATTGAATACTTATTCTTCCAGCATCAAAAATTGTCAGACTTAAAATATTCAAACCGGTGTCGGGATATCGTAATTGTCAAATAATAATGGTATATGGTATTTATAATGGTATTTATAAACTGAAACCAACGCGAGCGAAGCCACGGGTAAAAAGCTAGTAATAAAATATAATTGAGGTCGTGTATAATTGAGGTAGAGATCAAAACAGAAGTTTTCCATAACATATTAAAACTTACCAACTAAATCTGGCGTGATTCTGTCCACTAGGTCATTAGGTAGAGTTTGTACTAATGTGACGACGTGTTCAGGATGAGCTGGAGGCGCGTAAACTATCTCTTCGACCTTCTCCCTCTCGCAGTTGCAGTAGGCTGTAGACACGTGGACTAGTGCCTGGAAAACATTATTTCTATAAACCAATCTATGAATATCCATTCGAAACGTTAAAATTTAAATCGTATCGTCCCTTGGGTGTCGTAAGAGACGACGGAGGAAAACAAACCGAATAATAATTGCGGTTCCCAACCCATGAGGCAATCTATGGGCAGGCGTATGTTCAACAGTGGACTCGGGTAGGCTGTAATGAATGAATGAATATTATAGAAAGTAATTTTAGCTAATGTGACAACAATATTTTGATTAGAATAAGGAATGATATGGGACGATTAAGTCACACCCCCAAATCTGCCGACATAATGACGGCTCCGTGGCGCAATGGCTTAGCAATGAGTTGCTACGCTGGGGGCCGCGGTTCGAACCCCGCACGGAACAAGTATCTGTATGGCCTACAAATAATTGTTCCGGGTCTGGATGTTTGTCCTTGTGTGATTTATGTTTGTAAACTACCTCTGCGATAACAGGAGAAAATCCTAGTGTGGAGGTAACGTTTAAAAAAAACCAAAAGAAACGGATGAGAGTGCAGCCATAAATTATGGCGGCGCTAGAGACTAGAATCAAAAAGCGATAGGCTTTAATTCTTCGATACACTGTGTCTTAGCACCGACCTCAGAAGCTATGATTATATCATTATGTGCTATTTAAATGGTTATAGTTTTTGAAAGTGTTAACGAATAAAGATAAACGGAACGGTGCCTACGTTTAAATTGCCATCGAAACCAAGCAAAAACCATGCTCAACATATTGTAATAACACGCTATCACGCAACGTATTGTAATTTAACATGTATCTAAAATCATTTGTAAACAACAAGAGGATTTACATGCATATGTACGCACCTAGCATTTATAAGAGTATTCCACTTATTTTCTTTCACACGTATTATCTTGTGGAATATGTAAGGAGAATATAATGAAAGGTAGATAACAATTATGGCAGAATAATTGTGTTATTATATTTTAAAATTAAAAATTTTGTACAGCCGACTTCAATATAAGTTATTAAGAAACACTCAATAACTATTGGTCTGACCTTGATCAAATTCATATGGGACTATAAGAGAAGTATCAGCTTTCAAATAAAAATCATCGAAATCGGTTCACCCAGTAAAAAGCTATGAGTCGAATTGAGTACCGTCTCCTTTTTGGAAGTCAGCAGAAAATGTTACATCTTAATTTACTTTTGTTCGAATGCGTGGTACCTATGTCAACACAAAAGGATGAAGACCAGCCGACCGTTTGGTGGTCTGATGATAAAATAGGGAGAAACTAAGTCATGTGTGCACACTGTGCACACTCTCCGAAATGTATGCTTTAAAACGGCGAAAGGCTGGCTACTTTGCGCCTGTGCTTGAGACTGGCAAGATTGGTACCATATTGGTGTCGCCAATAAGCCTCTTAGCACGCCTTCCAAAGCCACTAGGTGGCATTTTGCAGCGAAAGCCCATTAATGGCAAAATACTTCATGCCTTATGACCGGACTTGTACAATAGAAAGTGTAAGCAACTGTCATCCTTGCAGCTGCTACCCACCTACCTTGCAACTGCTATGGCGGGGGACTCAAATACCATCGTAATACACGTTTCTAGTAGGGGAGCCGCTTTTAATTTTTAATTTATTTTAATTTTTATTATTTGTTGTTATAGCGGCAACAGAAATACACATTCTGTGTTCTGTTCTGTACATTCTGTGAAAATTTCAACTGTCTACCTATCACGGATCGTGAGATATAGCCCGCTGACAGAGAGACAGAGAGACGGACAGACGGTCAGCGGGGGCTTAGTATTAGGGTTCCCCTTAGTATATGGTTCCGCACCGAACCATAAAACCGAGTAGAATAATTTTTAGTGTATATATGTTGCAAGAATAGTTATTAAAAGTCATTAATTATTTTATTATTGGTCAGGAAATAATCTCTGGCCTGGGAAAAACCAGCAACATCCACAACGGGACTTTAAAAAAAAATACTTAAGAATAAAATACTAATTTACAAAATCTACTTGTTTTCATATGTATCACAATGTTCTTTTTACACAATTAAAAATATTCGAGTATAATAATTAGTAACTGCTTTTTAGCGATCACCTTTATTTAATAATTATAAAGCGTAACAGCCTTGATACGAATGTCGAATGGTCAAAGTCTCACTCGAAAAGTGGGTACTACTTATCTTTTTTTAATAAATACAATTAAAATAAAGTTTACCGATATTTTTATTTCCCATCACTAAACTATATGAAAAACTGCCCTTATTCAGTGCGGTACGGGGCGTATAAGATCCCACATTTTATTTTATCTACAGAGTCTAAACTACTTAATCCAACCACAGGCGGAGGCAGATTTAGGTGTATCGATTCATTGTTAATAATGATAATTAAAAAAAATCATATTTTTATTTGACTTCACGCCAAATAAACTGTTTTAGTCTCATAAGGGCCGGGCCGGGTTTAGCAAGCCCAGTGCCGCCACAATGTCTGGTTTAGGACTAGGTTCAAAACGCCCCGAAGCGCAATAATGGAAAGTATAGATAAATCAGTGCCGCAATGAACGTGTTAAAAAATTAACTGGAAAAAAATTACCAGCCAGTATTTGTAGTAGGTACTACAATATTATATATTCAAACTCTTTTGAAGTGAAAATTTCTTTAAAGTAATTGTGATTTGAAACTTGATGAAACGAAAAAGCGACAAAAAAAGAGACAAACATATACAAGTACATGTAACATAATTAACGCACATCCTGAAAGTAGCTTGTTCAGAATCGTTTATTGAATCGATTTCTATCATTTTTAATATAGGTAATTTTTTATCCAAAAAAATAATTAAAACTAAGTAAATTACAGTCACACTAAACCTGTACAGTTAAAACAAACTGAAATGGACCGTAACTCAAGGCAATAAGACTTTTAAAAGTGCGGTTTTATTTGTAACAATACAAATTGTGTTATTTCAAGAACGTTAAATCTACAAATACAGAGTTTGGAGAACGCGATTCAGCGTTCGCGGCGGCCTTGTCCAGTGATTTCCCAGAACAGATGATTTGACGCCTCTTGTTTTTTTTTGTAGGCACGTATTAACCATTAATTAGGCGCATGATGAAAATTAGACAACTAGTCGCGTGGGGTCTCTAGTGACCCGAAATAAATAGTTGAAAATAGAGTGTTAAAAATAAATAAAACAAAGTATGTTTTATCAAAAATATTAAAATGCTTTATTATAATTAATTTCAACATATAAGATATGATATGCAACATATAAGATACTTGAAAGATAGGAGACTATTCACAAACACAATATGGCATTTTCTCAAGCGGCTCGCTTTGAGAAAATGTCACATCGGCCGTGTCAGAGACCTCACAGTGGCCGAAGTTATGTCGGCACGTGTCGTTTTGATCCAAATAACATTTTTAGAAATATTAAATTTAATACACACACATTCACAGTACACCTATACGTCCCTGAAACGACCAACGGGTTGTTTTGCTACATACTGTATAAATTGCTTAAGCCACTGTGATTGTTTAAATCTGTATTAACCTTTATATTTTATTAACAATTTTAGTTTTTTTTATTATTATTATAGTTTGTAATATTGTATATAATAAAAGTTTTCATTGTATATTAAAAAAAATATAATTTATGAAACCCACATTTCCCATATTACAAAACTAGAAAGCGTACACTCTGACTCCACCCTTTGCCGTCAGCTACTAATTACGAGCTCGCGGACGCGGACAAGCAAATGACACAGAATAAATTGCAAATGACTACATACATTGCGTGATTTTTGTGACATCCATGAACATCCTACGATGACGAACGCGTGATGAATATGTAACTTGTGCGAAGCACCAAAAGTAATATATTCATGTCCAGGGTGAGTATACTAAAACTGCGCGATGCGTCTGTGTGACTATAAAATATCAATGTAGGTGTTCTATTAGAAGTTTCCACGCTCTTGGATATTAAGAAGTCTTAATACAGTGTTTCCTATTATCTATTATGTCGGTCTCTGGACATTTCACCTCTATAGCGTGTGAATAGCACACATATTTTTTGTAATCCTTTCTATAGCCTTTGTTCATGCCTTTGTTTTAGACAAATAAAATAAGGATGTAATAAAAACAATTAGCCTTGACGGCTAACAATTACGAATATTCGAGCACAAACAATTATCATAATTATTAATAATTAAATTAAATTAATCTTGGCAAAAACAATTTTCATAGAACAATAAATTATATCAGGATATTATGTTATCCGAATGAGGAATCTTCATAATCAATTAAACTTATACAAAAAAATGAGAAATTACATTTAAAGAGTATTTTATAATGATATATTGTGTAAGATAACGTAACGTGTTTGTCTCACTAATGCAAGACGTTGCAATGCAAAAAGGAATACATTTGAAGCAAATAATATTTAAGTATTTCAACAGTGGTAGAGCCACGCGGCAGCTTTTGCTGTCGCACAGATGGGCCGGCGCTCGAACCGGGGTGGTTGCACGACCTCACAGAAAACCAGCGTGAAGTAGAGGTTTACCTCTGCGTTTCGCTTGGTGAGTGCAGGTAGCCGGAGGCCCTTTTTTACTGGAAATGAGGCATTCCATCTTAGTCCTCACGGGTGACAACGCATCTACATTTTGATTTGTAACAGAGGATAGATGTAGATGTCTATGGGCCGCAGCAACCACTTACCATCAAGTGGACTGTGTGCTCGTTTGTCACCCTTAACCTATAAAAAAAAAGTATCTTCTCTATGGGTTTGCCCATATAAATAATTAAATAAAAAGTGAGACTATGTATTGATTTTGTTTAAAAAAGAAGCACTGAAATCGTCATCATTAAATAATTACTGAGCTTTCTTATAGCGTTACATGTATGCAGTTTTTTGGTTTGCAATTTTACACAAAAGATGTGAAGTGAAATGTGAACAGCCTTTTTCATCTTTTATCTCAAAGTTTTGATAGAAAATAAATTTTTAACAATTATTTACTTCATCGTCATATTATAATAATCCTTTATGTGTGAAAGTCTAAAAGAGGAGTGAGAAGACTTTTTTAAGTAAAATTAATAAATTTTCAGTTTTTATTTTAAACAATTAGTCATATTTTCGAGGTAATCGTAAAAAAACTGAGTTTATCGGAGTTCTGCCGCAATGTGCGTTCGTGAAATTTGGCGGCTGGGATTAATCCGAACAATTCCTCAGAGCAATCCCCATGGTAGATGCGAAAGAAAATGCAAAGGGATGCAACATCTCTTCGCAGTGCCAATGAATCGAGCTGATCGGAAAGGGCTCGGTCGTCGACGATTCGAGCCGCTCTGCGCTGGATGCGGTCAAATGGAAGGAGCTGGCACTGGGGAGCCCCTGCCCAGAGATGGGAACAGTATTCCATGTGAGGCCGAACCTGCGCCTTGTAAAGTTGCAGGCGGTGTGCCGGCATGAAATACTGTCCCGCTCTACTGAGAACGCCAAGCTTTTTAGAGGCCAATTTGGCCTTCTCTTCCAAGTGATCACGAAACTGCACGTCACTCGATATGTCGACTCCGAGGATACCGATACTGGCTGAGGCAAGAAGGGGAGTGCCTTGAAACTGAGGAGATACGACAAAGGGGTTCTTTTTAGCGGTAAACGCGCAAACTTGTGTCTTCTGAGGATTAAACTGGACTAGATTTAGTCGCCCCCAATCCGAGACTTTGTTCAGCAAAGACTCGACTTCAGACACAAGTTTGTTCCGGTACTCGGCGACGTTTTCCCGAGAAATATTGGCACGGCCGGTGTATAGAGCATCACCAGTGCTGTCATCCGCATAGCAATGAATGTTACCAGTAAGCAACATATCATTAATATGCAGAAGAAACAACGTCGGTGATAGCACACAGCCTTGTGGAACACCCGAGTTAATAGGCTTGTAGTCAGAACATGCACCGTCTACAACGACCTTGATGCTCCGATCTGCAAGGAAGCTGGTGATCCAATTGCACAATTTCTCGGGAAGCCCATAGGAAGGAGAGACTATATTCCTCAGCCGACATGAACTATCTATTATAATAGCATAAAACAACTTAATAACTTTTATTACCTATGTGCATTTTTAAAGGTAGTAATAAAACAACTAATATATCAGAGTTAGTATTAATCGGTTTTCATAGTTGGCGCAGTGGCTTAGCAATGAGTTGCTGCGCTAGGGTGCCGCGGGTTCGAATCCCGCACGGTACAAGTATTTGTATGACCTGCAAATGATTGCTCCGGGTCTGGATGTTTGTCCTTGTGCAATTTGTGTTTGTAAACTGCCTCCACGACACAGGAGAAAATCCTAGTGTGGGGGTAACGTTTTTCTAAAAAAAATAGTTCACATTTAAGGCGTAAAACGGTAAATAAGCAAAGTGCATCAATGAAAACCGGTGTTGATTGTCCTTTTTCTGGGGAAAACGGTTTTAAATGTCTCTCTAAGTTAAGATTAGTTTCAGTTTCATGGCAATAACTGTTCAGTTCGTTGGTCAGAGATTGTCCAAGTAAACCAAAGAATTATGATAGATTGGCTGGTTTTTTTATTGAAGTTCTACTACATAATAATCTAGTACATAATCATATTATGTGAGATGTTGATGGTTTTATGATTATATAAATACTAAAACCAAACTATTTGCATGTTATCTTTTTACTTATATATTTTTTTATTTTAAACAAAAATTTTATCATTATATTTATGACATAGACTTAAATGAAGGAAAAAATCCTTACCTCAAGCCCTAACATGCGATGGCACAGTTGCACGAGTTGTTGTGTCCCCAGCATGTTGATTGTGACGGATAACTTCAATTTCTCGTCGAACTTTACCGTTGCGGCCGAATGGAACACAACCGACACCTGCCAAAATGATTTCGAATAAAATAATATTTAAAATAAATAATTCAAAACTTAAAATATTTATTATTCAATGTACGAAAAAAGTTCATCTTTGCGGTTATTCGTGCTATATGGCCGGCCCATTGCCACTTCAGCTTACTAATCCGTTGGGCTATGTCGGTCACTCTGATTCCAACTGCGGATATCCTCATTTCTAAGTTTATCACGCAAAGAAACCCCAAGCATAGCCCTCTCCATAGCTCGCTGAGTGACTTTGGTCCTCATACGGCCAGCAGTAAAGAACTACGCCTTAGATCCATAAGTCATCACTGGCAACACGCAATGGTTGTACAATCTCGTTTTGATGTTTAGAGGTATGCCTGACGAGAAGATATGTTGTAATCTCCCGAACGCTGCCCGGCTGAGATGAGTTCGTCAATTGACTTCTCGGTCGAAATTGGACTTACCTAGTCGGACTATTTGTCCCAGGTAAACATACTCGTCAACAACTTCGAGCTTAGTGCTCCTAACAACTACCGGCATAGGTGTGACATGGACATTACACATGATCTTTGTTTTGTCCATGTTCATCTTAAGACCTATCCGTTGGGAGACACTATTGAGGTCATTGAGCATGGTGCTTAGGTCCTCCAGCGATTCTCCCATAAGGACTATGTCGTCGGCAAATCAAAGGTGAGTGATATACTCGCCATTGATGTTAATACTTTAAATAATCATTTTCACTCACTCTCAATCACTTTCAATAATCCATTCCAGTCCAGTAGCTAGCTTGAAAACGTCTTCCAATGCAGCGGTGAAGAGTTTCGCGGATACAATGTCACCCTGTCATACACCTTCCTGCATTTGAATTAGTTTTGTACTCTGGTTCTGTACTCGGAAAGCTATCGTAGCCCTACTGTACAAAAACTTCAGCACTTCGATATACCGACAGTTAACTTGGCATCGCTGAAGGGACTGTAGCACTGCCCAAATTTCGACGGAATCAAAGCCTTTCTCATAGTCCACATACGCTAGGCAAAGTGGCAGATTGTACTCTTCAGTCTTCTGTACAATTTGCTGAAGGATATGTATGTGGTCTATGGTACTAAAGCCTTTTCGGAAACTGGCTTTGTCGGGAGGTTGGAAGTCATTGAGTCTGCGTACGAGACGATTCGTAATGACTCTCGAAAACAGAACGTAGACGCGGCTCACAAGGTAAATCGGTGTGTAGTTTTTCAAGAGAGCGTTGTCGCCTTTCTTGAAGAACAATACCACCGCACTTCTGCTCCACGCCTCCGGAGTAGTCCCACCATGGATGACTGAATTGAAAAGCTTCTGAAGGACTTCAAGTACTGGTTTTCCACCCGCTTTCAGAAGCTCCGCTGTAATTCCATCCTCGCCTGGGGCCTTCCCGTTTTTAAAGTGCTAGAGAACCATTCTAGAGAAACATTCTAGAGAGCCATTCTAATCTCGCTCAGACTGACGTACCCAGTTTTGCGTTGAAGTCACCCATTAACACCGAATAGTGAGTTTTGGAGGAATGCACGGCTCTAGAGTTATCCTCATACATTTCCTCTACCTCCTCATCGGGATGTGCCGAGGTTGGTGCGTAAACCTATGTGACCTACAACGAATACCGTTTGTTGTTTCTGAGTATAAGGTACGCAACCCTCGTCGACACACTCCCAATCTTTACAACGTTGTTAACGAGAGACTTGTGGACGATAAATCCGACACCTCCTTGGGACAGATGGTCACCCTCCCGGTGATAGAACAAGTTACCGGATTCGAGGATCACCGTGTCCTCCCCCTCTTTTGAGACCTCGGATAATCCTATAATATTCAAGCGCAATTTTCTATCTCTTCTTCCAGCTCCAGGATCTACTCGTCAGTCCTCAGTGTGCGTGTGTTATAAGTTGCTAGGTCGAGTCATCGTGGGTGGCAACCGAACCTCTTAAACCGAACTTCTTAGCACCCACTGAACCGCCGTTACCATGGTCGCCACCGTCGTTAGGATTAGCGGGGCCGCCGGGGACTGGGGGCCGTTTATTATTGTCGTTGCTCATGAGGAGTATATTGCCATAGTTACCTAATAATGATCTTCAAAATATTATTTATTTCTTAAATAAATATTAAAACATTTGATGTCAAAAGTCGGATAAAAATGACCCACCCCACGTCCATGTAGTGATTTTCTACCCCCACAGAGACCGCGAAACCAATATACAATCTTGACCTGACGTTGGTTGTGGTTGTATATTGGTGTTAGGCTTTCGTGTCAATATCACTCACTTGTTAAATGTTTAATTTATGTATAGTAGCTGGGGCCCGCAGGGTAATCTGCATGGATCTCATGCCTGTGGGAATTTCCCAAAATTCCTCCTACGTCTAGTATACTCAATGTTTACTCCATATTTCAAATCTCTAGGCTGACCGGTAAAGGTTGTCTTTTGTCTGTCAATGAGTTATTCAGTCACGGTAGAGATCGTCCAATTAAAAACTTTTATTATTGTTTTTTTGTTAAATAAAAGTGACAAACGAACACACAGTTCACCTGATCGTAAGTGGATGCTGTAGCAAATAGACATCTACATTTGTCCTCTCTTAAGAATCGAAAAGCAGATTCGTTGCCACCGCTGAGGACTAAGATATTTTCTTTTCTCCTTGGAAGTGAATTATGTTTTTGTTTCTTTGAGTACGGTAACATCATTCTTTATATAAATGAGTAGCGGCACTCGAGTGTTATAATTAAATCATTCGTTTCTCAAAGCTTTTTACATCTGTTTTAGGTCGAAGCGTAAAAATATAAGCTTTCTTACGAAACAGTCAAAGATAAAATAAACAAAGTATTATTATCTAAAATCATTACTGTCATCATCATCCCTAGTCTGCTGCCGAACACAAGCCTTGATGTTAGGTTAAAATTTTAAAGAGGAAACAAGTTTCTGTGCCTCCTGCATCCATCGAAGATATGCAGGGAGCATATATGTCTAGAAATATTCATTTAGCACAATGGCGCGTCGACTTACACACGGGCTATTTACTAATTGGAACCTTATATCTATTAAGTTAGCCTTAGTATTCTGGATTTATAATTTAAAAAATGTAAAGGAATACGCTCGATGTGCTTATCACCTATATGATGCTGTATTAGAAAAAAAGTATTATTTTGAATTTTACGATGTTTTCTTGTCTTCTTCTGAAATTCTGTCTTCTTAACTTTTCCAAAATACATTGTGTAGTAATGTGACCATGTTGTGCTGCCATGTGCAAAATATAAAATAATATCGGATAATATTTGTTAATTCTACAGACAAAATTTTTTCTTAGAAATTTAGTCACCGTCATTTGGATTATTAACTAATAAAATGTAATAAATATATATTCTGCTGTTGTACATTGTGTTACACTCTAAAACCATCTATTGTAAAAGGTCAAATGCCTTCCTTATGGTAAGCACTAATGTGGTCAATTTTAATCGATTTAAATTCTTCTTCTCATATTAAGGTAGTATACACGAATATTAAAAAAATTGTCTTGTATACCGTGGTTGCCGACGCCTGCCTGCGCAACCATATGCAGAAATGTGTAGGTGATGTTATATCCTCAAAACTCTTTATTAGTGCTCTGGAAGACGTTTACAAAGCCATTGAACTGGAAAAAAATCGCTATCTACGCCAACGGCGAATACACCACTTGCCTTCGATTTGCCGACGATTTAGTCAATGTGGCAGAATCGACGGAGGACTTCAGCACTATGCTCAATGACAATAGTGTCTGCCAACGGAAAGCTCAAAAGATGAACAATGACAATACAAAGAAGAAAAATGAAGAAGAAAGCTCTACGTGGTAGAGCCATGCTGCAGCTATATTTTGGTTGTAGCACGAATGGGTCGGCTCGACCGGGGAAGGACCACGCTCTCACAGAATACCAGCGTAAAATAGCAGCTTAACGCTGCTGTGTTTCGTATGGGGAGTGTAGAGAACCGGAGACCCTTTTTACTGGTAACGAGGCATTCCATCTTAGTCCTCACGGGTAACGACGCATCTGCATTTTGATTCTTTATTGAGGATAAATGTAGAGATGTCTTTGGGTCACATCAACCACTTACTATCAGGTGGACTGTGTGCTCGTTTGTCACCCTATCCTATAAAAAAAAAACTAGCTTAACCAGGAAATTATCATTTATTTGATAACAATCTTACGATAGTTTAATTGATATTTTACGGTATAAACATATGCTATACAACTTTACCGAATACCTGTGCCATCAACATACATATCATAATAATTTATAGCTACTAATTTATGTCATACACCCTAATATTGTGATGCATGCATTAAACCGCGCTCCCCGTAAAGTCAAGGAACCGGTTGGTCCTTCGCTCCGGTTCTACAGGTCGCAATTTTTTTAATAGTAATTAATGATACTAATATAAGTAACATATGTGTGAGTATCGGTGCATAGAATTTTTATGGTTCGATAATTTATACTAACTAAAATTATTAATTTTTAAATATTAAAAATTTTAAATATAAAAAATTATCAATTCTTTTTTGCTTGTTTGTCGCCCTGTCCATTAAAAAAAAATCTTTTTTTCAATATTTTATATCTACACATAAACATGAATAATCATTAATTCACTATACGAACATAATATGAACTTTAAAATGTTTCGATTTCTGATATAAAACAGATATTGGAATATTTTAGAATACTAATAACAATAGCTGGTGTTAGAATTTTACAAAATTTTTGTATACTCGTAATGCTATTTTGACGTAACACAAATTAGTTAAATTAAGCATTACTTTGTGAAAATATATTAATCAACGTAGCAAAGAAACAACGGTGTTTTTCCTAAAAACCGTAAATCTTAGAACATAATGTGTATATTTATTTTAACGGGCTAATTATTTAAATACTTCTTCCTCCTTGGAAATTAAAATTCTTAATTTAAACTATTGAGTTTATTCTTTTTTTTTTTTTTATAGGAGAGGGGGCAAACGAGCATGCGGCTCACCTGATGGTAAGTGACTACCGCCGCCCATGAACAACTGCAACACCAGGGGAATCGCAGATGCGTTGCCGGCCTTTTAAAAAGGAGTACGCTCTTTTCTTGAAGGTCCCTAAGTCGTATCGGTTATTATATATATCGTATTCATTTACCTTTTGACATAACATAGCTTGGTCCGCTGGACTGATGCCTAGTTCCGGTTCTGTGATGTCTCCAACTATAGGTACGATCTTGTTCAGCTCCTGTGGCCGCTCTTTTCTGAGTGTTTCAAATAACTGTGAAGGATTTATTATTATTAATTCATCTTCAATGCTTAATTAATAAGTGTAAACCTGAGATAGATATATTATTATTGTGACGATAAGCTCAAACATAAATTGATGAATACTATAATTTATTTAACATACATTCATACGTGATAGAGACACACTGCAGCTATGTTATGTTTGTATCTTGAATAGGTCAACTTGACCAGGGATAGAGCACCACCTCACAGAATCATCTTAACAATGATCATTACAGCCTATTAAAATTCAGTGCTGAATCTAGGCCTCCCCATAGAATGTTTGATTAGGTGTGCGGGTTGGCAAACGCAGTTTTGATTACAAATACGTAGCTGCCCATCTCCGGGTTTATTTTTCTCTCTCGCTTCTTACGACCTTTTTGTAAGGGGTAGTGGTTACTACACGGTGAATCAATCTCACAGATTACGAACGTAAAATAACACATAATACTGTTGTGTTACGTACGTGTGTACGGTGAGTGTAGAGAACCGAAGACCCTTTTTACTGAAAAGGAGGCATCCATCTTAGTCTTCGGATTGACAACGCATCTACGCGTTTATGGGACACACACACACGTTTACTCATTTTCGCCATATTCCTACCAGATCTTTAAACCAAAAACAATCATGTCTGATTAAAATTTGAATATTTAAGTGATTAAGTTCCCAATTTGGCCCAATTAAGTATCTTTATCATTATATGATAGTGATAGGTATTCTAACTCTAATTATAACTTCAAATGCATAATTTAAATGGGATTGAAATGTTTTTGTTCTTACTCATAATCGCTCAAACATAGATTCATGGGGCTCTAATAAGTTTCCATAATATTCATTGACACGAGGGTTATTGCAACACATCCAAAATAGAAAACCCATCAATTTACGTCGAACAGCGTGGTAAAGGATTTAAAGATATCCGCAGTAGAAACAGAATAACAGACACAGAGTATCCCCACGGATCAGTACATATAAGCTGAAGAGACAATGAGCCGGCCATACAGCTCGAAAAACCGACGACCGATGGGCAAGGAATTCTCGACTGGAAGCTCGTACCAGTAAGCAAAGTATGAGGCGGATGAGGTGGACTATCCCATCATACGATGGAGTGACGACCTGGTAAGATATACAGTAAGTGCTTTGTGGCATCGCTTGAGGGAGCTTACGTTCAACAGTGGGTTTGTCATGGCCTGTGATGATGATGGTGATGAGCGTGATAGAGCCATGCCGTTCTGTATTAAATCTGCAATACAAATTGATTTTGTATTGAAACTTAATTATTTGATATGCAGCATGGCTCTACTACGATTTTATACGTGGTAGAGCCGTGCTGCAGCTATATTAGTAGTATAGTTGTAGCACGAATGGCTCTCACAGAATACCAGCGTAAAATGGCAACTTGACACTGCTGTATTTCGTATGGTGAGTGTGGTGAACCGGAGACCCATTTTACTGGAAAAGAGGCATTCCATCTTAGTCCTCACGGGTAATGACGCATCTGCATTTTGATTATTTATTGAGGATAAATGTAGATGTCTATGGGTCACAGCAACCACTAACCATCAGGTGGACTGTGTGCTCGTTTGTCACCCTATCATATAAAAAAAAACTAGCTTAACCAGGAAATGATCATTTATTTGATAACAATCTTACGATATTTTAATTGATATTTTACGGTATAAACATATGCTTTACAACTTTACCGTATACCTGTGCCATCAACATACATATCATAATAATTTATAGCTACTAATTTATGTCATACACCATAATATTGTGATGCATGCATTAAACTACGCTCCCCGTAAAGTCAAGGAACCGGTTGGTCCTTCGCTCTGGTTCTACAGGTTTCAATTTTTTTTAACAGTAATTAATGATACTAATATAAGTAACATATGTGTGAGTATCGGTGCGTAGTATATTTATGGTTCGATAATTTATACTAACTAAAATTATTAATTTTTATGTTACTTAAGAAGTAATTCTTTTATACATTTTTAATGTTGCGTTGTTTTTAGTGGTGAAGGAAGTTGAAGATAAATAAATCTATGGACCACAGCATCCACTCACCATCAGATAGACTGTGTGCTCGTTACCCTTAATTCAATAAAAAGAAAGTACCTGCCACATATGTTATATCATTAAATTAGAAATAATTATGGTAACTCACAGGTGACTGTGTGAGTTCTGTGAGCCGCGATGCAACATCCTGTCCGCGTTTAGGCCGCATCAATAAGTATATCTTCTTGATTTTTGGACAACTTCTTAACAACTTCTCGACCAGCACCTGAAATATTGTGTAACATAAAAGTTTGCTTATAATACCGCGTCAGATTGGATCGCGCGTAGGAATTTTACTTGTAATGTTTTTCATATCATGATAAGAAAATTATGTTTCCAAAAAAATATAACAAAATACAAGAAAAGTAGAGTTTTAGATGCAGCAAAATGTTTAGTTACATGGTTAAAGTAGTTTTAGACATAATATTTAGCTCCACTTTAAAAAAAATTATCCAGTCAAAATACTATATTATGTAGCTTAGATATTTTTACATGATCCTTATATAAGATAAGACAAGTAATTTGTACAAATTCGATATGAATATAATTTATTTTTGATTTATTTAAAACCCCTCGACCGATTTCGATAAAATTTAAATTGAACCTGGGAAGTTATACCCTTAGAAAAATAAAGTTTTCCATATGGGTTCAGGCGTCTTCAGAGTAATGTGATGAAGGTGAACACACATAAAAAAGATTCCGACTAATTGAGAACCTCCTCCATTTTTGAAGTCGTTTGAAAATGGGGTAAAAGATGTCTACCATGTTATTCCTACTCCAAATTAATCCAAAATTTGTACGACTCAATCTGTGAATGTCATGTACTTGTACACTTGTAATTGATATGAATATCAGAGAGTTTAAAAATGTGTATATTTTTGTGATAATGTTATATATTTGTATTATAAGTGCACTTGTTAAATTAATAAATAAATGGTTTTTCTATTGATAAACAATAAAATCTAATACTTTTTGATGTATTTGATTAAAATAAAAAGACAAAAATATACATCATAATATATATTACTATGTAATTAGTTTCTCGTAACGGATCTAAGGTTTTGTTAAATTTTGTACTTGATAACGTTTTAATTTATAAGTTTTACTTGATCCTACCATCGGTACCTATTCATTTGAAAATTATATTTTTTTCTTACCCCGAGCGACTGAGCTATTTATGATGTTTATATATTTTTATTAGGTATAAATATATGCGAATAATAATGCGATTACCATTTGAAACGATTTCTTCGAGAGTTAAACAATTATTGCCGATTATTATAGTCCATTAATCATGAGTAAGGTTGGCCATAAAGAAGCTCATTTATTTATTTAAATTTATTTATTTAAGGATAGCCCTGTCTCCTGTCTCGTGCTATAAGTTACATCATAATTAGTTTATATACATACATTTCACAAAGACAAACATTCATACCCAGAATAATTATTTGTAGGCCATATAAATACGAGTTTTTTTTTATAGTATAGGGTGACAAACGAGCACACAGTCCACCTGATGGTAAGTGGCTGCTGTGGCCCATAGACATTTACATTTATCCTCGTTTGCGAATTAAAATGCAGATGCATTTCCACCCGTGAGGACTAAGATAGAATTCCTCGTTTCCAGTAAAATGGGTCTCCGGTTCTTTACACTCACCATACGAAACACAGCAGTGTTAAGCTGCTATTTGATGCTGGTATTCTGTGAGAGCGTGGCCTTCCCCGGTCGAGTCGACCCATTCGTGCTATAACTACACCACTAATATAGTGTATAGCCGGGAAGGGACGCCCTAGACAAAGGTTTATCGACCAAATTGGCGATATAATGAATTTAGGCCAGATTAGGAGTACCCTTAACCGACGAGCGTGTATTCGTAGATATATGGATGTAAAGGAAGCGAGAAAGGTGTGTCAGGATTGTGCCAAATGGAAGTCCGTAGTCTCTGCCTACCCCTCTGGGTGACAGGCTTGAGTGTTTATGTTTATGTATGTAAAATTTACATTTTATACTATCAAAGCCTTTATCACGTAAAATCTGTAGCACTGTTGTCGCAGCCAACTACCTTAATTAGCCGTTCAATTAACACAGCCTAGCCTTTCTACGTTTAACTAGCGGCCTGAATGATATTCAACCCATGCGTTTCAGCCAACATATGTAATATTTCATGTACAATTATGCCCTATGTGCTATATTATACTGGGTGGCGATTAGGTTATCACATTAAATAACACAGCGGTATATACAAGTTCATATATGTCTATTAAAATAATAAAATAATCAATTCTACCAAATATAAAAAATGTATCTTTCAAACAAAATAAATAGCTTTTAGAAAAATTTACTTCGCAAATATCCGCATTATAAAATAAAATTATGTGTCTTAACTAGTATGAAGAGCACCTCCCGCCCTCCCTCAATTGCGTGCACTATCCCCGTCACCACTAATCCCAGCACCGCTACTCCCAACACCACTGCACTAGGAAAGACACACCACTGACGACAATACGACACGTGTTTTGCCTCTACACGAGGCATCCTCAGCTGATATAGACTCTACGGTGGCTAACCGCTAAGTCAGTCTTACGGTCGAGGATAGTGCACGCAATTGAGGGAGGGCGGGAGGTGCTCTTCATACTAGTTAAGATACATCATTTTATTTTATAACGCGGATATTTGCGAAGTAAATTTTTCTAAAAGCTTTTATATAATGGATTTCCGCAAAGTAACGCCTGATTCTATTAATTATAAAATAAATAGCGTAAAAATTGACACGAAATAAATCACCTTGATAATATTAGTTTTCTGACCAGAAGTGACATGTAAAAGCGGTAATGGTGCGGCAGGTACGCAGTGCTCACGCGGCATCGACATAGGTAATTATTTACCTCCACTTTCCCGTTCATAATTAGTCAAAAAACAAAAAAGGGCTATTGCCACTAGAATGTTAATTGTTATATATTTTTTTGTTGTGTATGTTCAAAGAACGTTATATAGGATAAGTCTTTTCATTTAATGTGATAACTTTATCGCCACCCTGTATAAATATACGCGGCTTTATGTTGCCCGAGGGTCACCCCAGTCGCACCTTAACCTGCTGTCGCTGATATTATAAGATATGTCCAATGTTGTCTGGGACGAATTGGCTGAATATTATTCAGGCCACTATTTTAACGGCGTTGTTTAGTAAAAAGGCTACTTAATCGAATTGGCTGCGACAACTGTTTTTTAAAAGAGGACAGGCAAGGTTTATCTCATTTGCATCTGTTTTATAATATTATAAAAAATAAGATTTAGATTTATCTCAAAAGGACATACTACAAAAAGTGTTATTAGTGACGTCCGGTTTTAAATTATAATATAGCCGTACAAGATTGTAGATTTTTTTACTTTGAAACGTAAACTTAAACATATTTAATATATTTCAAACTACATATCCGCTTCGGCTTCGCTCGGGTGATTTCTCGGTCTCGACAACATGATCACTTACCGGGTATAGTTGTGAATCTAAACCAACCAGTGATCCACTCAAAGACTTATTGAGTTTGAGTGGGTCCTTGGATGGTTTAGATTCACAATTAGATCCAACAAGTGGCGTTGTTGTCGAGATTCAGACATCACCTGTGCGAAGCGGGGGCAGGTCGCTAGTTTGTTATAACACCAGGCAATAATTATACAATTTGCTTAAGTTTAAACTCTTTAAATATAAATAAATGGCTTGAAAAACCATCTATTTTGATCTTTGCTCTAAGGTAATTAAACGCTAATAATGGTGGTTAGGCGTACCTCTAAACTAAAAGGTCATTAGCGTGTCACGGTAAAAGTGCATTAGTAATTGACAGCGTTATATACACTCATCCATTAGTCTGGGTATACATTATAAACAGAGAAATGCGAAGCCAAAATATTTATTACGCTTTAACAGCAACTTTAAAAAATATGGGACGTCATAAATAACCTCTGTATTTTCTTCTTTTATGCATATAACAAAATATTATCAGTAAACAATAAAAAAAGAACAAACGTGAATGTCGTGGAACACTCGGTTGGAACTAAATTCCTTTTGTAGTATATTATTATTGATAAACGTATGATATTAATGATTAACAAATACAAATAAACGAATTACTAACGTCAAAGTTAGGAGCTTTTTAGGTGCTAATTAAGTACAAAGATTAAAAATTAGGTGCTTTAAAATTTTGATCGCAATGAACTCTTGAAATTTGCGTTGTTAGCGAGACGTTTTGCCAGCAACGCAAATTTATATATTTAGCCCCTAATTTGGGCTTTTTCTAAAAGCATTTTTGATTCTACTCTGATTTTCAGAAAACCTGAACTTTGCATCTGCATTGTTCTGAATAACGACTTTATTTTTATTAGGTGCGCCTTGTCATTGTCTATACTTGCAGCACCTTATTAGCACTTAATTGCTTGCTTATTAATTGCTTATTAATATTTATCGTATATCTAATAACTTCATTGCGTTGCTAGCGATACGTTTTGCCAACAACGCAAATTTTAATCGTTCGTTGCGGTGAAAATTTTATAGCACCTAATTTTTAAACTTTGCACCTAATTAGCACCTAAAAAGCCCCTAATTTTGGATTTTTCCAAATGCAAATTCCCGACTTTGTGTTGCTGGCGAGACACAACTGACGCGACCAGAGAGAGATCAGACATAGTGGCAAATTGTACTCTTCGGACTTCTGTACAATTTGCCGAAGGGTATGTATGTGGTACATAATACATAAACACTCACCGTCACCCAGAGGGGTAGGCAGAGATTATGGACTTCCATTTGGCACGATCCTGACACACCTCTCTCGCTTCCTCCACATCCATATACCTACGCATACACGCTCGTCGGTTAAAGGTACTCTTGATTTGGCCCATTTTTAATATATCGCCAATTTGGTCGATAAACTTTCGGCTAGGGCGACCCTTCCCGACTATGCCGTTCACCTCTGCAACATAAATTTGCTTTGTCACTCTTTCCTCATTCATTCTTTCTACATGGCCAAACCACCGAAGCATTCCTTTCTTAATCCTGGTCACAACATCATCTTGCAAACCACACTCTTCTCTTATTAAACAATTTCTCACTCTGTCATTCAGATTCATCCCTAACATACTCCTTAATGACCGCATTTCTACAGCATTTATTCTACTCTCGTGTTTCTTCTGCCACACCCAACCTTTACTACCATACATTAAAGTAGGTACTAACA